TGTTATGCCTAGAGAGTACTTGACAAGACCTTCTCCTTCAAAACTAAGGGACTATTGTAGCAGAGGAGGTGGAAAGGAAGGAGAGAGCTAGGAAAACATGAAAAAGACTGTGAAATGCATGTTCTGAGAAATACAGTCATGGGAAACACAAATCCTCAACAACTAAAGATGACTACACTTGGTCTGTACAGAAATGGTTCTACAAACAGGCAGGGATGGGTGGAGGAAAGGTCCAGAGAGCCAAACTCATCACTACTGCAATATATTTGATGGCTGAATTTGGAGAAAGGGGCCATTGAATTCAATGGTGTGCCCATTGGTGCCCTTACTAGGCTCCAGTGGATATTCCAAATAAAGTGGTCATATAGATGGCCTGGATAAACTAAACTAAATTGGTAAGAAAACAAAACCAAGCATCATGAATCTAGGAAAAGTATAGGAGGTGAAAATAAGTTGATGAAGGGAGAGAAAAGAGAGCTGTAGATCAATTGTCTAGAATGTATTATATATACATAATTTATTATTATTATATATTTTACTATTTTAAGATTTAAACATATTTTTATCATTTTTTTCCACTCTCTCAAACCCTTCCAGGTCTGTTCTCCCTCCATACCAACCCACCATTAAGTTCTTTCTCAGAAAGCAAGTAAAACATACTAAAACAACAAAATATACCACCCCCAAAAAACCTGCATACTGTAACCAAATAAAGGGACAAAGAAAAACTGTGGAGTCCATTGTATATTGGTCAATTACCACACCTTAACATAAGGCCTGTTCCGGAGTAGTTGATAATATCCAGTGTTACTTTACTGGAAAATAAAAAACAAAACTGATTTTCCTCTCCCAGTAACTGTAAGTGGCAGTTCAGTTGTTAACCTTTACCCTAGATGCAGGGATTTCATTCATTCATTTAATAATGTTTTTAAGTTTAACAAAACTTAATGAAAATCCCATCACATCAAGTTAGGAAAATACAAATCAACTGACAGAAAAGAAACCCCCCACAAAAAAGCACATGTGGGAATTCAATAAAATACTATACTGAAAGTCATATTATATTATATTATATTATATTATATTATATTATATTATATTATATTATATGCATAGAGAACCTGGTACAGGTCCATGCAGGCGTTGTGCTTGCTGCTTCAGTCTCAATGGGTTCATAGGAGCTTTATTCATACTGATTCAGAGGGCCTGGTTTTCTAGGTGTCCTCAAACCCCTCTGGGTCTTACACTCTTTCTAAATTAACTTAATCTTTTAAAAAGTATAGAAAAGGAAATAAGATTTACTTTTTAGTCTTTGTCCAATGTACAATCTATTTTTTGCTATTACATAGTAAACACATCCACATTTTTTTGGGGGGGGGAATAACAATGAAAACAAAAATAAAAATTATACCATTTCTGATGATCTTCCTGCACATGAAGTGGCCTCTTTGGGCCTCGGACTGTTATGAGTGCATGAGTGCAATGGCCACCTGGTAGATGGTAGCATTTCACAACTTCCCTCCTCAACCTTGCCTCTTACACCCTTCTGCTCGTTCCCTGATCATTGGGGCTAGTGAAGGTTAATATTTCCTTTAATTTTGAGGGAAGTTTCCATGTGGCATAAGCAAAGATATTTGAGGAAAATGATATCTAGGAGAAATGAAACAATATAGACCTCACAAATATATGAAAAATAGCAAATCATGTCCATATACTTCATGGAAATTCATTTTCAATATGTAGTGTTTGTCAGGACTTTTAGATGCCTGACTAGAGAATTTCTTAATGCTCTTCCATTTGTCTAGAAGATTTGAAAACCTCAGACTTCATTACCTATTAGAGATATATACTGCTGGTGATTTGTAAGCATTTATTTTCTATCTTCATTTTTTTTAATAGAACCTTAGTTAATTTTTTGAATCTAATTATTTTGAATTTGAAGCAGTTTAAAATTCAAATAACATAAAGTTCTGTTTAAAAATTCCTCCTTAAAGTACAGAATATATTCCACAAATATAAACATAGAAAAATTGTTTTTCCCTCTAATTTCAGACACAGTCTCACCAGATGTTTATCCATTTAACCACTATCTCTAGGCCTAAGTGGCAGTGAACTACAAAGTGTTCAGTTTCATGTGAGTAGAACATTCCTTTCAGGAGGGAGATTGGAGACTCATGGGACTCAGGCCAGACAAAACTTTTTGTAATTCTAGGAATGCTGAACCTTGCAGAATTCATCACACCTCCCCAAAAGGGTAGGAAGCAGTTTCCAACTGCTGAGTGAGAAGATCACTGATATGTCAAGTTGCCTATGTGTTAGCTGTGTTATCCACAACTCATTTATTTGCTAAGTTAGACTTAGGTATATTTGTAACTTCGACCTGTTGTAGGTTTCCTTTTTGCCATGAGTTGAGATATGAGTTGTATCTCCCAAGGAAAGTCTTTCATGCAACATACACTGATCAAATATCATGCAGAAATATATTGCCATCCAAGGGTAAACGTATTAATCATGTGCTTTTCATTTTTCCTATTATATAACATGTTTTATCAGATAGATAAGAATAGTTCATTATTAACAATATAAAGAATCATTAAGATACTTAAATCTTTAAAATTGTCATTTTAAATATAAAATGCATATGAGAAAACATTAGTAACTCACTTGATGACAGTGATAGAAACGTGATATCTGATGGGAGATGGCATTCTGTATATGTTTCTCATACTGGTTAATAAATAAAGCACGGTTGGCCGATAGGAAAGAATGATAAGAGGGACTAGGAGACAAGGAGGAAAGAGGAAGTAGTAAGGAGGAGTCAAGATGGAGAGTCTGGAGAAAGCAGAATGCCGGCTGGCTCCCCGGTAAGAGAAATACATAGATCAGCAGAAATGGGTTAATAATTAAGGCAGAGCTAGCTGATAAGAAACTAGTACCTGACCAACAGCATCATATAAAATACAGAGTCTCTGTGTGTTAATAGGCCTGGCGCGGTGGCAGGATAAGACCAGTGGTGGGAGGAAAAACCTTACTCCTTACAGATATCCACTATTCCATTTATAAGAATAGCAATAGGATTTGTAAATATTAAGTGTAGTTTTACAATGCTAAAATGACATAGCTAATTAAGTGACATGTTCACTTATAATTTGCTCCATATAGGATTTTATCCTTCATGTGAGGGTTATTGTGTAAGGACTTAGACTCTAGTGTTAATTCTATTCATTATAACTTGTTTAATTTTATAATTTATAGAGTACACATTCTTTATTATTAAATTTAATGAAATGGCCATACGAACAAGTAAAATGCTTTATAGTATTTTATTTAAAAAGTTCCACATTAAAATGCATTTTAGTAAGCTGAGAATTTATGAAGGTCTCAGGTCACATACTGCCACTGACAGCACTCTGTCTCCTTCACGATTCATCAAAGCAAACCTTAGGCAAAGCTGATGGTATCAAAGATACCTCATCCCAGATAGATGTGTTAGTTCATATTTTAAGTTTCAGAATAAAAGATAAAAGTGGGCACATATATGCTTTATAGAATTGGTTGACTCAGAGCATAAAAAGGAATTACCCACCCATTAACCATACAAACTATAACACACATCAAACAAGAAAGTGTATTTCTGATCCTCTATATGAACAGCAACTTCTGTCCACAGCTGAGCCCTCACTCCAGACTCAATTTGAAATTTTAATGATATTTTCTCTTATAAAATACACAATTGCATAGATTCAGGCAAGCATAAAGTTACAAAAACTAGCCTAAGTCACATTTTGTAGTTGGTACAATTAACCTATCAGTCTCATATATATCAACTGTGTTACTTTCTTCCCACTTCCATTTAAAATTATACATTCAGACCATCTATATGAATGTGGAATAATTTTTAGTATTTGATTGTGTGAGTGTACCACTGTTGATATTTTGTTATTTTATTAAGTATGGTTGTATTTATCATCTTTTTTCCTTTAGAGTACATTGATTGAGCACAGCTATGCATGATCTAACTCTGTTTTAACTATGAGCACACCCTTAAAAGATAATGAAAAATAAGAACAGAGATTCTCCTCCTTCCTTCCTTCCTTCCTTCCTTTCTTTCTGAAGTAAGGTCTTACTCTGAAGCCTTGGCTGGCCTGGGCCAAGTAGACCAGTCTAGCTTAAAACTCAGAGAGATCAACATATCTCTGCCTCCTGAATGCTGAGACTAAAGGAATGTGTTACTATACTTTCTTATTAGACCATCTAACATTTTCATGGAAATTTGGGGGGAGGTGAGGATTAGCAAAAGCGTTAAAATCAGATGAGAAAAAGTCTAATATATCTTAAGAACAAGGGCTTCCTGTGACATAACCATTCTTTCTAAACAGAAATAGAAAATGAAGTAGTAACAAGCAGCCCTGGCTACATTTTGTGCTAAATATTTATCCACTATTTAGTTTAAACTGCTTTAATTATATAAATGCATCTTGTTGATAATTGTTAATAAACTTCAATTTAAATAAAAATAAATATAATTCTACATTTCCTTAGAAATATTTTAATAAGATTTTTTAGGACAGGCAATAACTGTGAAGTTACAGAGTTTACACAATTAATCACAAAGAGTATAAGACAGTTAGGTTCTAATCCAAAAGGATGGATGCACATGAAAATTAGCCAGTTTTGACAACAGATTGCAATATTCATGCATGTTATGAGATGAGGTAGTTCCAGTTCTCTTTCTCAACATTTTAGATGTGGACTTTTATATGGGTGTGTTCCTTGATTAGAGCTCACATATTCATCAATCCCATTGATTTCTTTCCATAAAGATCTTAATTTGTTCTCTTTTGGAAATTATATTTCTTATAATTCTTTCTCTGTTTCACACACATGTGAGTACAAGCACATTCACATTCATGCACTCTTTCTTTTCATAGTTTCAAAAGCACCAACCACAACAGCATGAAGAAATTCATTTATCACCAAATAAGAACCTTTTCACTAACCTTATAGAGCAGTGGTAATTTTCCTAATTTCAGGAGTGCAATTTGATTTGTTGTATTTTTTAATTTTGTAATTCTTTTAAAATCATCTGCAGTTCCATAACTCACATCGATAACATCAGCCTGAAGGAGGAAAAATATAAAGAAAAGTAAAACCTTTTAGTGAGAATAATATCAGTTACCCAGTCTTTTGTAGTGACTCAAATCTTCAAAGTCTACCAATCTCGGCCTAACTTTAACTCTCTAAATGACCAGAGATGATGCCACTTATTACAATGATGAAGCTTAATTGTCACTTCAGTTCCATGTTCACTAAAGACTGAAAAACCATCAAGACAATTTTTGTAGACTCATATTTCATGAATAATTTTAAAAATATCAAAGAATTAATATTTTAAGACCAATAAGAATCATAATAATAGTCATACCAAAAATCAGGCTTGCAATTCAACAAGTCATTATTTATTATTATTAACAATTACAAAGTCCTCTATGAATAATTGTGTAAAATTTTTCAATTTCTTTATATAAGCAGTTATTGACAATTAATTATGTCATCCCACCAAAATTATGGCATTTTAGTCTTGAAAATGTGGTACCAAATAACTACTTATGCCACAATTCAACCACACCTTACCTCTATATTCAAGTAAAATATTTATGAATATGTGAAACCCCTATCAATAGTCCTGGTTCCTGTTTTTCTTTTTGCAAAATTATGAACTACAAGACCCCCCAAAAGGCATTCCAAGCAGACAGGATGATTTTTTTCTTTTCTTTTCTTTCTCATGAATAAATTTTATTGGCTTATGGACTAAGACCTATATAACTATACTTTACTATCTACATTTAGCTCTAAAATAAATTTATTTTTCATTCTTTTTTTTATTTAGTAATTTTTCTTATTTTACATGTCAATCCTCTCATGTTCCCATAGACTGACCCTCTATCCCATCCCCCATCCACTCCCAAGGGAGGTTAAGGCCTTCCATGAGGGATCATCAAAGTCTCTCAAGTCATTTGAGGTAGGGACTAGTCCCTCCTTTGTGTCTCCCCTCACTTCATGGGGAATGGACTCCCAAAGTCTGTTCCTTCACTAGGGATACATCCGTGATCCATTGTCAGAGATCTCATAGACTTCCCAGTCCTCCTAACTAACACCCACATTCAGGGAGTCTGGGTTGGACTCTGCTGGTTTCCCAGCTATCAGTCTTGGGTCCATGAGCTCCCCCTTGTTAAGGTCAGCTGTTTCTGTGGAGTCCTCCAGCCTGTTCTTGCCGCCTTTTCTCATCATTTCTCCCTCTCTGTAACTAGATTCCAGGAGTTTGGCTTAGTGTTTAGCTGTGGGTATCTGCTTCTGCTTCCATCAGCTATTGGATGAGGTCACATATTCATCTTTTTGTGACTGGGTTACCTCACTCAGGATGGTTTCTTGCAGTTCCATCCATTTGCCCTCAAATTTCAAGATTCCATTGTGTTTTTCCACTGAGTAGTACTCCATTGCGCAAATGTACCACATTTTTTCATCCATTGTTCAGTTGAGGGACATCTAGGTTGCTTCCTGGCTCAGTTATGCTTTCTATAACTTTTGTTATTAAAATAATTATTGTTGTGGGTTCTAATGTTTATGTAATACAAAATTTATTCCTTCAAGTTACACTTGCCATAGACATGATGATGAAAGGACTCAATGAACAGAGAAATGTAGAGGGGAAATTCAGACCTCTTAGCTAAATCTAAGGTACTTCATCTGGCATTACAAAACCAGCATCCCTAGATGATCGATTTGCAAAGGATTCTGTTTCAAGAACTCGTAAGTACTATATATGATGAAAAGGCAGAAATCAGTGGACACATGCCACTCTTTGATTCCATTTTCATACCACAAAATCTGTGATTAGAGCCAGGCAATGGTGTAACTCCCAGCTGACAACTCCTCTTACTGCAATTAATGTATCCAATATAGTTTCCCACAGGCATGACTAATGGATCATCTATCTACTAGATACATTCAGATTAAGTCAAGCTGACAACATTAACCATCACTTTTAGCTATCACATTTATCAACATCTTCAAAACTTGGCTAGCACATTAAGATCCATTTCAAACCTTACCTATCAGATAAAATGTATTTCAATGTTGCACAATGTGAACTTTAACTATTTTTTTCCCAAATAATCTATGTCTGCCTCTGTTAAAATAATTCATTGGCTGTCTCTATGTGTGTGTGTGTATGTATGTATATGTATATGCACGACTATTTGTGTTTGTGTGTATATGCATAGTTTCAATTTCTACTACTCTGAAACTTCCTGTTGAGGGCACATTGCACATCATTTTCTCCAATTTATCAGCATGCCATGTCAGCTGCTGGGATTTGTACTTAATTATGCAATATCAGAAAAGCTAAGTTACACATTCAAGTGAATTTGTCAGGACCTAATTGTTTAAACCCTTCCGTTAGAATGTGTTTTCACTAAAATATTCTTCCTATTTAATATAACTTTTTGAGTTTACTGATGCTATTACTATATAAATAGTTGTTGATCTATGATCTTAAGGAACTGTTTAAATAAATGATCACATATTATTAATGAGTGTACTGCAAAAAGAAGAAAATTTGTATTTTTCATTTCAATTTAGTAAGGTATACACTAATTATTTGAGATTCAATGACAGCACCTAGAAATTGACTATTACTCTATTGGTCATATTAATGAATATATTTGTCATATTTAAAAATGGTTGAGCGAAAACATTAGAGCTACAGTGGTAGATTTTGTTCATATACACATCCAAACACACACACACACACACACACACACACACACACAAACACACACACACCCATTATCTATATAAAATGTATGGCAATTATAAAATATCAATCTTGAATATTACATTATTAGAAATTATAGATAGCTTGCATAATCCAATAAAAGTTCAATCAGTTCCTCACTTCACCTCATATAAAATACATGTCAGTGGGGGAATTTTGGCATGCAAGATATTTTATTTTATTTTCACAACAATGTTCCTCAGCACAGACGAAACTATTCAAATCTTTTTTTTAACTTAAGTATGATAATTACAATATTTACAGTATTTTAGTTCTTGATGACTTGAGGGTTTGACAAAAATGCATATAGTCTTTGAAGATGTCTCTGAGAATAATATTTCTGAAAGTCTTTCCTATTTACCTTTAAGAAAATTGAAAATCATAGCTGCAAAATATGTTGAATTATTCTGACACACATATATAATGCTATGATAAAGTACCAAGCTATTTCTTTCCACATGTGTTCATTGCTACAGTGATACTCTTCTGAATGCATTTCTACTGTCATGTTAGAAAAAAAGGTCATTCACTAGACCATCAAGGACACTCTATTTTATGCACTAAACTAGAAATGAATTCAAATCTTACATATATTTTTTGAATGAAGAACAAAGAACTTAAAACAACAACTGAAAAGAAACAACATATATTATTCCATGTTAAAATGAAATCATTTTCTAGGTTTATAACAATATTGGTCCATATTGATATAGCTGAGAAGAAATTGGACACACTACAAAAATGAATGCTTCTGGTAAAGTATTTGAGAAGAAATCAGCAATGAGATATTTTCAAAGCTTGGATTTGATACATGGTGGAATCACACTCCCTACCACAAGATTTCTGTAGTATTAATGAGATTCCCATGAGTTGAAATAGTTGTTAAAAAGTCATAGAAGCCAGAAAGCAAGTCTTCCTGTGTAGTGAGTATTCTAAAATAGTAAGATAATTAAATAAATTTTGGAACAACATGATGTATCTATGACTTGCTAAAAGTGTCCCAATTTTATTGTGAAGAAAAGTTTTCCTTAAAATGTTAAGCTTTTGTGTTGTTAATCAGACATGCTAGGGAAAAACAACAATAGCCAAAATCATACTTGAAAAAATCTATGTGTCATAAACCATATGTATTGCCCATCTCAGATATCAAGTCATTTTTTCTGCCTCTTCTGGATAAAGTGAAATTCAGAAGGAAAGGAGTGGCACAAACTCTCTGGAGTCATCTCCAGAGTCTCCAGAGCAAGATAGGTGTTTAACAACTGGATCCCACTAGTGAAGAAAAAAAAAATCATGGTGCTGTCTGCTTAAACAGCACCTTTCAGTCTGCAGAACAAAGATTCTGTGTAAAATTACATTTTCCCAAGGGTTAGTGGAAAGTGCTTGATGTATATGAATGAAGTACTGAATTCAGGTCCAGCCTGTATCCTTAGTGCTGAGAAAACAAACGATAATTTCTACAGTGTTGTGTTACTAAAGGTAGATAAATTTCTGAGCTGTAGGTTCAATGAGGGACACTGCATGAAAAAAAAAATTGGGCAAATGTCAGAAGATAACTGACATCAGCCTGTGGCCTCCACATGGGTTTTCAAAGAACAAGAGTACTCCTCCCACACAGACATCCACCACATATTTCCCTAACACACACACACCACACACACACACACACACACACACACACACACACACACATACACACTACACACACACACACAGATAACTTGAAGAATTTTTTTCTTATTAGTTACTTAATACATGTTAGAGAGAAGCAAGGTACATATTACACTAATTAAAAACAAGAACATTAAACTAATCAAAATATTTAAAATTTATTTATATCATTTATTAAATATACATCTCAAATATGCACAAAACAAATGTAAAGGAAGTATATTTCCAAAAAGAATAGCTAATTTTCTAATTTCTATTCTGTTTTATTCTCTGTAAGTCAATATTACAGTAGTTAGAAATAAATATTGAGTCTATATCAATTATCTCAAAGTTAATTTTTACAGAAATTTAAAATTATATTTAGTAGACTTAGTTATGCCAGATGGCTATATTACAATCCATTAAAATTGACAAACTATATAGTTTCTGAAAAAAAAAAAAAACAGTTGAATTTCTGATGTGCTTCCATTCCTGTTTGTGTAAAAACCATACAACAGTATAGTGTGGATTTGTAATGAAACATATATTTTGATATATACATGTACTGATGAGGATAAACAGGAATTCATCAATCATGCAGTGGCCATGGTCATCCTATTCTCTTTAGAAAGAGTA